CAGTGTTCCAAGATGATCATGAGAAAAAAAGATATGCAATCAATTTCTTATGTTGTCATAGTTTATATTAGACCAAACATATCACAAGTGGTTGGTGTTGTGAGCAGGTTCATGAATGATCTAAGACGGATTCATTGATAGGTTGTGAAGTGTATTCTGAAGTATCTGAATGATACATTCGATGTTGCTTTATCATTTTAGAGTTAGTAATCTATTATTGATTTATGTGCATGCTACACTGATTTAGACTATACAAGTGACATGGATATGTGAAGGTTTAGCTATTTATTCTCATTAACGAGAGGTCTAAACAGTTGGAAATCAAATCTTCAGTCTACTATTGCTTTATTTACTATGGAGGTTGAGTACATGGAAGTCGCGAAGGCAATAAAGGAAGTGATATGGATACAAGACCTATTGAAAGACTCAAGTGTCGGTAGTCAGTGTTAGCGCTGGAGCCCGCTACAGGAGATCCCACCTCCGCCTACTCTCGGTCGTGAACAACGCCATCTCGCTCCCCGCCTCCCTGTTTTGATCTCGAAAGGTCGTGACCGCGACCTTACGGTTTCGCGAACCTTTCCTACCTTTCTTTGACGTGAAGCGAAGCATCTCTTCGTTCCTTCTTGTTTGCAATAAAAGCTTCGGATGAATCTCCTTAGGTTAAGAAGTCATGGTTTGAGTTCTTCTTCGGTTTCCTCAGGATAAAGGAAGGTTTTCACGGGGTAGTGGAAGAGAAGTGCAAGGAGGAGTAGTTCCTTGGGGTAGTTCCTTGCAGTAGAGAGAGAATAATGAAGAAGAAGATTGTTCTCCCTAGGCTTCTTCTTGGTGGCTTGTGACAGAAGAGAAATTGAGTTTATTTCTCTTGTACGTGTTTCTTCTTCAGTGTATCTCGGTGTACAGTTTCTTCGGTGTATCTCGGTGTAGAGAGAGAAGAAGAGAAAGCAACGAAGTGAGAGTGAGAGATTCCTCTTGTAAGTTGAGGTAATCGACTGGTGTAAATTTCCCAAGTAGTAAAATCCTCTGCAACTCCGTGGACGTAAGCAATTTTGTCGAACCATGTAATTCTGTGTGTTCCACTGTGTTACTATTTTATGGTGTGAATTTTTTTCGTTCTATTTTTCGCTTCGTCGATCATTCTCCTATTTGATTATATATATACCGCAACAAGAACAACAACTGGTGTCAGAGCTTTGTTCGGATCTGAGGAAGAATGATGACTGCAAATGAAGTAAAGGTTTCAGGGATCGAGAAGTTTGATGGCACAAATTTTGGTTATTGGAGAATGCAGATAGAGAATTATCTTTATGAGAAGAAACTTCATCTTCCGTTATTGGGGAAAAGACCTAAAAGAATGGATGTGGCTGAATGAAATTTGTTGGATCGACAAGTTCTGGGGGTTATTCGATTGACCCTATTGAGGTCCGTTGCACACATTGTCGTCAAGGAAAGGACGGCTACAGATCTCATGACAATATTATCAGGTATGTATGAAAAGCCATCGACGAATAACACGGTGCACTTGATAACAAAGTTATTCAACCTGAAGATAGTTGAATGTGTGTTTGTTATTCAACATCTGAATGATTTTAACACCAACACAAATCAATTGTCGTCTGTTAAAATTGATTTTAGTAGAGATGTGCACTTCTCTTGTTGGCTTCATTGTCAGATAGTTGGGAAGCCACGATGATAACAGTTAGCAGTTCTGCAAGTAAATCTAAATTGAAATACAATGATATTCGTAATTTGATTTTGGCTGAGGAAGTTCGCAAGAAAGATTTTGGCGAGGTCTCAGGTTTGAGTTCGGCACTGAATGCACTGAATGTTGGGAGATGGCATGACATGACCTCAAGTATAGGGAGATCAAAATCAAAGTTTAGTAAGCAGACAACCTATTAGAATTGTGGCAAGGCTGGCCACATAAAGAAGAACTGCAAAAATCCTAAGAAGATGGAGAATGATAACATAAATATGGTATCTGAAGAATCATAGGATGCACTACTGTTGGTAGTTCATAGTTTTGTTGAAGAGTTGATATTGGATTCAGGGGCTTTGAATATGGTAGGAAATCTACCAGAGACCACTGTGTAGGGCAGTGATGAAAGTGAAGAGGAAAGTGGGTCCGGGGCACCCATTCCTATTGTTCCACAAACAGATGTTGAAGAACCACAAAGTTATGAAAAAATCTTGCAAAATGAAAGTTTGAGCAAGTGGGAGCTGACAGAACTTCCACCAGGGAAGAAGACATTGCACAACAAGTGGGTGTACCAGATGAAAACTGAGTGTGATGTCGGTAAGAGGTACAAGGCTAGACTTGTTGAAAAAGGCTTTCAACAGAGACATGATGTTGCCTATGCAGTGGGAGTTGTAAGAAGATTGTAAGAAGAAGAGACAAGAGTGACCCAAGAAATAGCTTGGAGGTGCAAAGCTATGTGGAGGCTGCTGATATGTTGATTGAGGGTGTTACTCTTAAGAAACTGAATTTGTGCACAGCTTCAGTTGGTCTTCTGGAGTGAAGACAGAGATTTGAGTTGCAGAGGTGAAGGATTCAAGTTGGAGGATTCATGGAGGATTCATGTTTGAAGAAAAAGCTAACATTGCTAGTGGAGGATGTCAGTTTGAGGAGAGAGATGTTGTAGCATGTGTATCGGTCTCCAAGTGGGAGATTGTTAGCGCTGGAGCCCGCTACAGAAGATCCCGCCTCCACCTACTTCCGATCGCGAACGACGTCATCCCGCTCCCACCTCCCTGTTTTGATCGTGAAAGGTCGCAACCGCGACCTTACCGTTTCGCGAACTGTTCCCGCCTTTCTCTAACGTGAAGCGAAGCATCAATTTGTTCCTTTCTGTTCACAATAAAAGCTTCGGAGGGCTCTCCTTAGGTTAAGAAGTCAAAGTTTGAGTTCTTCTTCGGTTTCCTCATGATAGAGGAAGGTTTCCACGGGGCAGCGGAAGAGAAGTGCAAGGAGGAGTAGTTCCTTGCGGTAGAGGAAGAAGAAAGAAGAAGAAAATTGTTCTCTCTGAGCTTCTTCTTCGTGGCTTGTGGCATAAGAGAAATTGGGTTTATTTCTCTTGTACGTGTTTCTTCTTCGGTGTATCTCGGTGTAAAGTTTCTTCGGTGTATCTCGGTGTAAAGAGAGAAGAACAGAGAGAGAAGAAGAGAGAGCAACGAAGTGAGAGTGAGAGATTCCTCTTGTAAGTCGAGGTGATCGACTGATGTAAATTCCTCAAGAAGTAAAATCCTCTGCAACTCCATGGACGTAAACAATTTTGTCGAACCACGTAAATCTGTGTGTTTCGTTGTGTTATTATTTTTTGGTGTGAATTTTTCTCGTTCTATTTTTCACTTCGTTGATCATTCTCTTGTTTGATTATATATATACCGCAACAAGAACAACAGTCAGTGTGCAATATCCTTGGCCACAAATCCAATTCATCACGCGTGTACATAGCACATTGATGTGGAGTATCATTTTATTTAAGATTCAATTGATGACGATAATGTTTTATTAAAGAAGATAAATATGAAGGAAAATCTAATGAACATGCTCAGAAATCGAGAAGTTCACCCACTGTATAAATTTTGCGAACATTTGAGCTCATGGTTGATTACTCGTCGAGCATTTTGAATAACTACATAAAGCTTGATCCCTTGGGACGGGGTTATTCAGACAACTATCTAGGTGCAGTCGTTTTAGTGTTGGAGCTCATTTTGGCCATCTTCCACTTATCTAGAAGTAACAAATGTGGTGTAAATTATTGTATTAGAGATTTTTTTAAAAAAAGGGGTAAATAATTATTTCTATTTTTTTATTAGTATGCATTAATCCCCTCTTATTTATTGGAGGAATTAAGGCTAATTTTTTGATATAGGATTGTAAGCCTATTTAGACCTTTTTTCTTTCTTCTCGTCTATTGATATTAGAATAACCTCGTAAATCACATTGTGTTTTATTCTTTATTTATTGTGTGTTTTTGTTCTTGTCGTTGTTTTGCACATGAAATTCTTTGAAGTTATTTGGTTATATGAAATAAATGTACTTCATATTTTTTGTTGGGAAATTTACATACCTAGCACACAATTCTTATGCATTTTCGTATCTCACAACTAAATTTTTATATTTACATATATAACACTTTGGTGATTTAAACCTATGTGTTATTCATTTTAAAAAAAGTGAAAATAATGCTAATATTAAAGAGTTTAGTACTATGTCTGTAAATATGAAAGTTTAGATGTAAGATATGTAAATAACATAAGAATTGTGCGCTGTGTATGTAAATGCCCCTTTCTTGAGTGATTCGAAGTAGCATTAAAATAATATATTTCAAAATATATGTGATTCATGTAAATTATTGGCAGCCAAGAGCGACGTAAAGTGACGAGCGACGGATGACAATGATGGCACACAACTGGCATCAAGCTGCAGGAGGCGGTAGAGGACAACACTTTTATATGGAGCCGTGTATTTGAAATTCACCCAATTTTGACATCTAAACTCTTTTTTTTTTTTTTTTCCATTTTCAACATCCAAATCTTGCATACCACATAAAAATACCACCATTTTAAAAGTAAGATACAACTTCCATGCATATGTATGAAAAAGTTGAGGTTTAGGTGTAGATATGTAAATATATAGGTCTAGAGTGGTATGCATGCATATCTTCCAAAATAGTTTTTACTATATCTTAATTATCATGATTGTTGAATTCTTTTAGGACGTCAGACCCTATAACGTTCGTGAGTTGACACAACCCAAGAAAGACTTGTGAAAAAAGAGGTGAAGAGAGACGGGTCTATGCTTTTCAAGCCCTTGCTCCATGGTCTCTAACAAGAGAGATGGAAGGAGATGGTTTATTTTCCAGGAGTCGTGTGTCCCTGATGTTCGAAGAGCTTATCTATTTATATGATTCACAGATGACATCCTACCCTTCAGTGACCAAAGAGACAAAAAAATATAAATATATAATTTGTACAATACAAAGTTTGTCCACGATGCTCCAATCAAATGACATTGAAATGGACGTCGAGCGGCTCATAAATAAACATGAACATATGTCATTGAGAGCTAGGCAGATCGCTCCGGCAGCTGATAAATTACAGCTAGCACATTGACAGATGAGGTCAACAGATCACCTCAGCAACTTAACTGTTGAAGAAAATGGGCATTCCAAGACCACGAGTCCATGAGGCCTAATAATAAATGTATTGGTCCATAAAAAATATTTATCGGTGTAGTGTTGATCTTTCTTGTTACATATAAGAGTCACATAGACTCATGAAATCAATATTTATGAAGCTATGACTGAATTGTGAATCTGCAGCCATTAACAAGAGATTTTACAGGCCTTAATCATTTCATTTCACTCCACCATGTGAAACAAAAGGTATAATTACATTCATAGCATTTGAAACATTATCATTTATAAAATTAGCACCCAATTGATTTTATAAACTAGCTAACTGATGCATTTATGTGTGCCACAATAAAACTGTTGGGAATTGGATAAATATGAAGAGTATACAATATCTTCAATCTATGAGAAAGTGTAAGAAATTGATCTACTGCTGCAAAACATCATTATCAAATGAAAATAAACCGGAGATGAAAAAAAGAAAAAGGAAATACCGCAGTTCGATTGCAATAAGGAATGAGGTTACATTTATAACAAAAGAATACCTATGCCCAAATGATTTCCTTGAAATAAGTATCCAAAAGTTACCATACTTAGTTTTAGTGTGCTAAAACATGTTCTGCAAGTTTAATTACGGCAACATTAGAATAATAATTTAAGAAAAAGATGGGTCTAACTAAAACATTATACTAAGATTGAAATGAAAATATCTCATATCAGTATCAACATGGCAGTGCGTGAGCATATATGACTGTATTGCAGGATTTAACTGATTTGCATGTATCTTTCCGTGTTAATTTTCTCCGAACAAAAAAAAAAAAAAACAAATTAAGAGGTGAATTCCTCCACTTCAATTAATTACCCAGCTAAGAAAACCTATGAATGCTGCAGTAATTGGTTCAAGAACTAAAATCAAACACTGCCTTGAATAAATAATATAAATTCTAGCAACAGAGATGGTTCTATAGATGTTAACTTCTTAATTCTAGATCAAATGTCTCGGATTATTGAAGCGGAACCGCAAAGGTTATTTCGGTGTTATTGAAGAGAAACTTATACATTATACTTCAATAATCCTGAAATAACACCACGGGGATTATTTCAGGGTTATTGAAGTGGAATATATGAGTTTCTCTTCAATAACCCCGATATAACTTTCGCGGTCGGGGTTATTGAAGTGAAATATATGAATTTCTTTTCAATAATCTTGAAATAATCCCAAAATAACCTTTGCGACGTTATTTCGAGGTTATTGAAGTAGAATATATGAGTTTCTCTTCAATCAACCTGAAATAACCTCTGCGGTTCAACTTCAATAACCTCGTGATAACACTGAAATAATCTCCGCGATGTAGCACACGTGACGACATATTATTGGAGTCCGCACGTAGAGTTTCACTGCTAATAGCTTCAAAAGTTGACAGGCGTCACCAAGGATATTAGCCTCATCAAATATACATTCCTAGGATTATGCTATAATATTAGTAATTAAAATGGTGAGTTTTATTTATTTATTTACTATTATTGTTATTATTTTGCTTTTATTTGTATAAAACTTTCCATAGTGCATCTCTTTTTTATGAAAATGAATATTTGTTTTAAAACTTCACAACTAAGGACTATAGTCTACCCTCTTTTCAAACAAAGATAACCAACACCACAGATGTACTTAGTTTTTTTAACCCTAACACAACTAGCTATAAAACCCTAATATACAAATTAAGTATAATAATAATAGTACTATCAAAATTGTACAACAAACAATAATAGCAATATTAGAATTTCAAGAAAACCAAATATACATGTCAAGATTCCAGAAAACATGCATGTTTATGATGTAGTTGCTCTCCTCGGTTTTACAATCAGTATTTAGTAGTTATTAATTGGTCATTAATAGACCTTTATGTTGGATCCTGATTTGTCCGTGAATCACACCCAAGATATAGAGCTAGGTCGGGAGAGGGAGAGGGAGAGAGAGAGAGAGGGAGAGAGAGAGAGGGAGAGAGAGAGAGAGAGAACATTAATAAACAATAATTTAGCATGTCTTATTCATGAAGTGATCTCCCGACTTATAGGTGAAAGAATGCAATATGAAAACGTTATAGTTTTACACCTGCTTTAAAAGGAGTTGTACAGAATATTTATAGTATTTTATATATATGAGCCTATCGCTCGGTTGCTCTCTGGCCCCGTCGATTAAGCTTGATTGACTTTGGGTCGGCAGGACCGGTTCGATCAACAAGGCTTGGTTGGCATTGTCGGTCGGTTGATCTAGTCTGGTTGTCGACCATTGAGAAATAGGTGGGAAAACTTCTTGGTATCCTCGATATGATTGGAGATACCGAGGGATTGGATCTTCCCTCGAGTTGGTTTTTTTTCTTGGTGGTTGACTCAGATGTCTCTGTCTCGTTTCTGAATGAAAAGTTCAAACTTAGATCATTCGATCATCTTTTGTAGCCCAATCGATTTTGACCTAGCTAGCTTTAGCTGGACGACTACACTCAGTCGGATAAGCGAGCCTCCTTAGAATTAGCTTTGACGCATTTTCATGTACATTTTAATAGTGACTTAATTACATTTAAGCATTACTTAGTTTATGTGTGAAAGCTTGCCCCACCGAACAACTGAAATACTCCAAAGAACTCCTGCGGATTGAGTAGATGGGAAAGAACTGAATAACCAAATTACCAAAGAATGTTCGTTGCACTCTCAAGAAACTGCAGCCCAAAAACTTGGACTGCCGTAGAACACCTTGTTGCAGTGACAAAGATTACTTGCTGAAGGCTGAAGATCTCCTTGTAGTTGAAGACTTGCGGTCTTCTCTTGGCAGTCCAAGAGCTGCTGAGTTCTTTGCTTCTCGTTTGGACAACCCAAGAAACACCTGCAAGCTGCCGTAGACCCTATAGTCCACCAACCAAGACTGTAGTCAGGTAACCCAAGAAACACTTGGGACTGCCATAGAACACCTTGTTGCAGTGACAAAGATTACTTGCTGAAGGCTGAAGATCTCCTTGTAGTTGAAGACTTGCGGTCTTCTCTCGGCAGTCCAAGAGCTGCTGAGTTCTTTGCTTCTCGTTTGGACAACCCAAGAAACACCTGCAAGCTGCCGTAGACCCTATAGTCCACCAACCAAGACTGTAGTCAGGTAACCCAAGAAACACTTGGGACTGCCATAGAACACCTTGTTGCAGTGACAAAGATTACTTGCTGAAGGCTGAAGATCTCCTTGTAGTTGAAGACTTGCGGTCTTCTCTCGGCAGTCCAAGAGCTGCTGAGTTCTTTGCTTCTCGTTTGGACAACCCAAGAAACACCTGCAAGCTGCCGTAGACCCTATAGTCCACCAACCAAGACTGTAGTCAGGTAACGCCTGCTGTTCGCCTAGGCCTGAGAGTTCCTGCAGGCTGAAGATTACCTTGGTGCGAAGAATTAGATTGTCCAAGAATACCTTGCTAAAGAACACCTGCAGTTAGAAGACCACCTGCAGAGCTTCAAGAACTCTCTGCCGATTCACTGGACTGTTCTTCTCTAATGAGGGACCTCGATACAAGATCTAAAGACTCTTCCTCTCAATTCTTGAAGTCTCCCCTTCTTCTTCTTCTTGGACTGATTTTCTTCCTCTTCTTGGCCTTCTTGATTTGATTTCTTTTCCCTTCCTTGTAGTCTCCTCTACAAGCCTCCCTCATCTATTTATAACAAGATGAAACCTCCCAAGTAGACCCGGTTCACCATAGAAGCTTCTAGGAAAATCACAAGTTTGTCATTGCCTTAGTTAGCCAATTAAGAGTCATATAACAATTCTCCACCTTGACTCTTAATTACAATGCTCTATTCCATCTAGCCCAGATGAGGCCCTTAGCCCCTGTTGAGTTTACTAAGTCCAGACAGTACATGAACTTAGCTGTGGGTAACACCTTGGTGAGCATGTCAGTTCTTTCTACCCGTGTGAATCTCTTTGCTACAAGTCTTGCTTTATACCTGACCTCTTCAATGCCTGACATGCCTTCCTTCTTCTTGAAGGTCCACTTACAACCAACTACACGTTGGTTTTTTGGTCGATCAATAAGTTCCCAAGTCTTGTTGTTTACCAGAGAAGCTATCTCTTCATCCATTACATCTACCCACTTATGTCTTTCCTTACTCTTTAGAGCTTGCTCGTAGCTATTCAGTTATGCTTCTTCTATCACTTTTACGACGCTCAATGCATAGAAGATCAAATCTGTATGACCATATCTCTCTGGCAGTCTGATGGTTCTTCTCTGTCTATCTCTCACCAAACTGTAGTCATTTGATCTGCTTTCTGGTTCAGTTTTTTGCTGGTCTTACCACTTCATCCTGGTTGTTCACATCAGTCCTTTGATCCGTCAAGGTTTTGTTGTTGCAGCTCCACCTCAATTGGAGTATCCTTCTTAGTAGCATTGTTCCTGGTAACATAGCTTTGCAGGTTCGCCATTTTAGACTCATTGAATACTACATCTCCACTGATGATGCATTTCTATTGATCTAGACACCACAGTTTGTAACCTTTGGTTCTAGGTGGGTAGCCGATGAAAATGCACTTCAAAGCTCTTGCCTCCAGCTTATCCTGTTTATCATGAGCATATGCAATACATCCAAACACTTTGAGATTATCATAGTTACCTGGTTTCGCATACCACATCTCCGAAGGAGGCTTCATTCCAATAGTTGTTGATGGAGTTCTATTGATAAGATAGCAGGAGGTCAACACAGTTTCACCCCAAAAAGTTTTGGGTAGACCGACATTTAAAAGCATGCATCTCACTCTCTCTAAGAGAGTCCTATACATTCTTTCAACCAACCCATTCTGTTCAGGGGTGTTCTGAACATTCTTGTGCCTTGTAATACCATTCTTCCTGCATAACTCATTGAACTGCTCTGAACAATGTTCCAAGCCATTGTCAGTTCTCAGGTGCTTCAATTTTGTTCCATCTTGTTTTCGGTGAGAGTTAACCAATCCTTGAACCATTGAAAAGCTTTAAAATTAACCAGTCCTTGTGTCGACCTCCTGCTATCTTATCAATAGTTGTTGATGGACATCTA